TCAATCTTATTCTAATAATGAATTTCATCTTTTCGTTTTAAAATAATAAGGTTGACTTTTGTCAAGTTGTAAGCGGTAAGTAAATAACAGGCGATATGTAAATTACGATTGTAAAATTTTATATATACTTAAGATACCTTATATCTATTATTCTAATTAATTATCGCTCTGGTTCTTCAACTAGTTCTTCCCAGGATTAACGCCTTTTTCCGAACCAGCGGTTAAAGTAGATACAATGACATTAAATAAGAATTATTTTAAATTCTACCTATGTTGAATAAAAAATATTCTATTTTATTATAATATTACATTTGAAAATCAATAAAATATACAAGTACTGCTTTGAAACACAAAGTTATTACATTGCAAACCATTGTCAGTATGAAATGAGGCCTAGTTAGCGTTTGTCATTTAAATACGTCCCTAAAAACAATCGTCAAAAGCTCTAACTCTACACCCTACACATGCATTCACAAGAGCAATTATAAATTCAGAGCGTGTTCGTCCAACATCTTGCAATAACGAGGAAAACTCTTTGCATATAAAAGACTTCAACGAGCTCATGTCTCAGCATCGTGTTTTGTAAATTAACGTATCTTCACGTTTTCCCGTGCTTGCGTGGAAATGGGTAGATTTTCTAAATTTTTTTTTTTTTTTCATAAAGAATAATTAGTTTCATATCACTTGACACTGGAAAAATTACAACCGTACGAGTCTATTACCAAATAAAGGGAGCAAATAATTATATTCCATTTTTTTTTAATTTGCATGTCATGTAAATTGTTTTAAATTTATTATATCTATACCCAAGTTATAAAGCAAATAGATTAACTGAACCGCACAATAAAAATCATTAAATGTAACTCTGTTGAGTGTCTAATAGGCGTATAATGTTACAAAGCTAGGCGGAATCTTTATATGATTGAAATTTTCTTGCATTAAATCATGCGAACGATAACGATTGACGCATCGATACATCAATCGTTTTGTCCATACTTTTTATTCCTGTTGCGTACGTGACCGTGTGGTGGCGGGTTAAGGGATAACATTACTTCATTTCATCCGCTGCATTAAGGGCGGATTCGACCAAATTTGTATAAGTCTTATCCTGAGAATAAAATCACTAATTACTCTGGAGTTAGAGAACTTTCGTTTTACCAAATCTTAACCCAGGTATAACCATGTCTATCCGAGAGTAAATTGTTATACCGCCATAATTCATGGAGTAAACAAGTTATCCCAGAGTATTTTAATGGCGGCCGCTACATTTTAACAGCTGTTTGCTAACTGTATGCTTTGTTGAAAAAGTAGGATATTTTATCGTTGTGCATTTATAATTTCTTGTATTTTTGTGTAATTGTAGGGATTAGTTTATGAAATAATGCAACGTTTACGAAATATAGAAGATAATAATAAGATTAGAAGAATAATCAACTAACAACTCGACTTATGTTATGTTAATATTCTAGTGTTCAGTGACAGTGACAGTTGACACTAATATAATCCGGCAAAACTTAAGTGGACAGAAAATCTTGCATTGCTCTATGTAAACAATTGTATTTCGATTTTAGTTGGCTTATATGTTCATTCATTTTTCATTCACCAACTCTCGTGTAACAATACCCAGTATTAGCTAATCTACGTTTGTGTTGGAAAAACGCAAACGAAGTTATCTGAGAGTAAGAGCAAAGAGTAAAATTATTCTAGGGTTAGTTCTGGAGTAACATGGTATTTGGTCGAATTCACCCTAAACCGTGTAGTGACGGTGTAAGAATATCTACTACGCTATATCGTCCCGTGGGTTTTGTAAGACGTGACAGAAGGAAATTGGAACAGGTGATGGGCAGCAGAATCTTCCTGATTACAACTAAACATAATAAAAAACTACGGTTACCAACCCGTCTGCCAAACATGGCAACTATGGCAAAATCCCCCTTTGGAAGCAATCGATGGGACAGGCCTATTTTCAGCAGTGGACTTTTATAGGCTATAATGGATGGATCCCCTGCATGTGTAAGAGGCAATTATGTGAAATGCCAGAAAAAATTAAAGTCTCTGAAAATGGTGGCATACCATCTTGTCATATACCCATATACCCAATCGGCAATGGGCATTAAAGTTACAGTTGCAAGACGATCGCACTCCTGGTCAGTCCGCCGGTCAACCACTCATATATATATATATATAGAACTCTAGTCTTTACGGATTATCGTAACAAAAAAGAAATAAACGTTTATAATAAGTATTTTTTATTATATTTGGTTGTAACCGTGTTTAATCTTGACGTCGAACACCTTAGTCGCCTCCATGACCATGGGTGCTGTAAATTACCCGAAACGATAAAATAAATTAATATATGCGATAAAATTCGTAAAAACTAATTTTATTTAAATGTGTAGTGTTTGCGTAAATATAAAAAGTCATTATACGGTTCTACTGTTTGAAAAATGAAACCAAGGGATATTTTATTCCGTACGTAACGAACACACATGTTTGTATACGTTTAAATGTTAGTGAACTATTTTCGTTTTTTTAATAGAAGTAGCGCTCAGTTCACATGATGGTAAGTGGATGCTGTGGCCCATAGCAATCTGCATCTTTGTTTTTAATTCTAGCAATGCTATCAACATTACTAATATTTTCTTTAATCACTCCTGGTAAGCTTCAAATGCTTGCGTTAGAAGTTGTTCACAACAGTAGTCAGATGGCAGATTCGAACCCGAACTCTATGGTCGAAATCTATCCTCGTTTTAGAATTCATATGCGAATATGTTGTTACCCCTGAGAACTGAGACGGAATACCCGTTACCAGTAAAAGAAGTCCAGTTCTCGTCATTTGCCATAAGAAATTCAGCAGTATGATGTGGCTATTTGATGCTTACGTTCTGTGGGAGCGCCGATTTTTTTCCTTGTCCGGTCAAACCGACATATTTAGTCATAATTTTTTTGCATATCTTGAGAACAAATGATGATATATTCTTCAAACTAAATTTATTTGGCGCATAATGTTTATAAATTTAACTTTCATTACAATAAGTCCTGTGGTTTTTTTTTACTTACTAAATGCAATGTTTATGAACAAAAAGTAAGTTGTAAAGTATACACACCGAATCACACCCGCACCGATTTTCAATCAATTTATTTTTTGGAATTCATAGACTTAAAGCAGCCTTTTAAATAAAAAAATGTTATATTTTATTATATACTATTTTTATTTCCTTTATTTAAAGAGAGAGGGAGAGAGAGAGAGAGTAGTGTCAGGATCGTGGCATATGAAGTCCGTAGTCTCTGCCTGTGTTTATGTATTTATGTATTGAATATATAACATAATGTGTTATTCTCTGTGACAGCCTTATAAATTACTATATTTGTGATCTGTAGTTTATATATTGAGACATAAATGCACAGTCATGAATATTAACGAGAGTTTTTTTTACACAACAAGTTACATGGCGCTAAAATTATTTCACTTTACGATTTCAAATTGAATTAGAAAACTCACTTTTACATCTTTTACAAGTAAGTAAAAATTTTTGTAACGCGTAAAACCACGCTGCAGCTATAACGTATATAGTGGGTAACGCAAAACCACAGACTCCTTTTATCTGTTTCGAGATATTCCAGTTTAGTACTCAGTTGTAACAATGCATCTATATTTTGATTGTAAGATACAGCGGATGCTGTGTGGCGTGTGTCCGAAACACTGGCGACTGAGCTATATATGAAGCCCTTGCTCGCCGTCCCAGTTACTATGCCATTTCGTCGGATACCACGAAAATCAATGCTCCAATGGTATCCAATAATATCCAATGGTAACGTTAACGACAGCTCCTTAAATTTTAGTATAATAGGGAGTGGTTTGGACCAAGCAATACGAATTTCTAACCAAAGATCAAAACGTTAGGCGTGAGCGCTGGCTGTGAGCTGCTGTGTGTAGTTAATTCGTCACGACCGCAATATTATAATAGAGTCAATTTTAAGTAGCGTGTGTTACTGTTTGAAGAGTATAATATGCTAATGTTGCAAATTGTGTGTCAAATTATACAAATTTGTGGAAGTTATGATACTAATGCAATAAATCTACTACTGCGTGATAAGACTTCTTTTCTTTCTAGAATTCCTTCTGGGGAGGTGCCATACTCTTACCAAATAGTAGAGCTTGCTCTGCTATGCAAATAGGGAGCCAGTATTATTAGCAGAGTAGAATAGAATAATAATAATGATAATAATTTAATTCAATCCATCAGATCATAGTTACAGTAGTACATTTGAAATTAAATTTAAATTTTGAATTACATATGAATTAAATTGAAATAAAATTGAATTGTATTAAAATAAATGTATTAACCAGGCTTAAAACCATTAATACCAAATTAACATCATTAAATATAAAAATCAATAATATGACTGCCTCTGAGTTATTTGTTTGTTCGTCCTTACACTAATCATATAACAATGGTTAATGTACTGACAATCAAACCTGTTCTCAAATACGCTCAAAATGGTGTTGGAGGTGGTCAGGAGCCTGCACCCCAGAGATGTGCACCGCTTTCGGATCATTGTGTAGACACAGTCGAAACGGGCGTCGGCGAACATCCCTGTCGCGCTGCAGTGCCCAGGCAGCCCCAACAGCACCCTGAACTCATTGTTATATTGCACACGGAGTACGTTGTACTGCTTCTGGGTATATGACACCCACAAGCTGGCCGTGTACTGAGTACGTACGTACAGGGACGTACAAAATGCTCCGAAAAGAGTAATTTTGACGGCCCCCGAGCAAATAATAGAGCCAGTATTCAAATAGCTCACTGCCTTTAGGCTGTAAGGTATTCCATCATGGTCCTCTGAGAGAGAGAGAGGGAGAGAGAAAATGGCACTTACAATAAGGTTGACTGTAAGTTCCTTGGTCACTTCAGTTTTATAAATCAAAGATAGCGAAATATTTTACTTATTTTTTGGGTAATGAACAAATAACGACAGTAATTTTCTGTTTGTTACAGCACGCCAATGCAGTGAGAGAGTCTGCCCGTCTTATCCTAGAGTCACCCGCAACAGAAACTGAAGATGCTGTGACCCTCGCTAAAGCTCTTCGCGCCCGACCTCCAGTCAACATGCTCCCAGCGGCCAAAGCCGGTACTTTCTTTGCCAGAGACAACGTCTCCAACTTCATCGAATGGTGTCGCCGCGCCCTCGGAATATTAGAATGCCTTCTTTTCGAAACAGATGACTTATGCCTGCGAAAGAATGAAAAACACGTCGTTCTTTGCCTACTCGAAGTAGCCAGAAAGGGCGCAGTTCTTGGCATGCCGGCTCCTCTACTTGTACAAATGGAGAAACAGATTGAAAGAGAATTGGCTGGAGAAGAATTGAGACCAGACGATTCTGCCTTAGGACTAGTGCCCCAAGGCCCACAACGACAGTTAGTGACAAATGACTTGAGAAGTTTGGATGAGAGAGTTAGAGATCTGGTAGAGAGGTGTTCTTGTCCCACACAATTCCCAATGGTCAGGGTGTCTGAAGGAAAATACAGGATTGGTGACACCAGAATCCTGATCTTTGTCAGGGTAAGTTATTTTTTTTATTTAAGTAAAAATGATACATCTCATAATGTAGTAAGTCAGTTTTGAAGAATTTTTTTATAGGATAGAGTGACAAACGAGCACGTAGTACACCTGGTGGTAAGTGGTTGCTTGACCCATAGACATCTACATTTATCATCAATAAAGAATCAAAATACAGATGCGTTATCACCCTTGAGGGCTAATATGGAATGTCTCTTTTCCAGTAAAGAGGGTCTCCGGTTCTCTACACTCACCATACGAAACACAGCAGTATTAGGCTGCTATTGTACGCTAGTATTCTGTGAGAGCGTGGTCCTTCCCCAGTCGAGCCGACCCATTGGTGCTACAACTATACTACTAATATAGCTGCAGCATGGCTCTACTACGTAAGATGGATGGACTAGACTGCATTGTGGGAGATTTAAGGCCTACATCATCATCATTTCAGCCTGTCATCAGCCCACACTAATTCTCTACGTACTACGCTACTCCACGTTAGTACTTTCCACTCATCATATGAATCATTAAGCTGCTATTTCGCGCCGTTATTCTGCGAGAGCGTGGTTCTTCCACGGTAAAGCTGACCTATTCGTGCTGCAACCAAAATATAGCTGCAGCGTGGCTTTACCACCTATAGAACGTATTCAACTTATTTGTGTAAACATACGAGTAAGAAACTTTTATAAAATATTATGTTTTATAATAACGGTATATTAAAAATATATTATCCATTAGTTAATTGCTACGTCTAATCTCGGAACATTAAAACTCGCTCAAATAACGCCTTATTTGTCAACTTGTGCTATTCCGCTGAATAAAGTTTAACGATCAATTTAAATAGGTCAATCGATCTCGTGCACGGTGTTTATTTGTTTCCTGCTCACCTCCGGTTGGCACAGCGTCGCCGTACCTCCGACATTGCATGTTTGTTGCCGTCGATTACGTAGTAACACCATGAATAATGCAGAAAATGGGACTGAGTAGCAAAATCTTATATTACTGCTGTATAAGGTTCAGCATGAATATTATAGTTAAAACTGAGTGGCAATGGTTCTGTCATGTAGTTCAAAGAACCGATGCCGATGGGAGTCTTGTAGCGGTAAGCGGGGTACGACGGCCCCCATTAAAAAGTGTAATCTAGTAAGGAGATGCATGAAGCCAATGCAGGTGTCTCGGGACCGTGTTTTGTACCATTCCTTGGGGTAGGCCTATATTCAGCTGTAGACTTGTGATCGGTTGTAAAGATGATGGTGGTACATACAGTACAATTTACATAAAGTATTAATTGTATGCTATGAAAATTATTACATAAATTTGATAAAGAATTTGTAAATAATCACATATTATAGTTAAACATAATTTTAGGCGCAAATGTTATTTATTAGTTTCAATAATATTCGATAATTTAAAATATATCTTAAACTCTATATATTTGTATATATGTATGTATAGGAAATATATGTTGAGTTTATTTATTTTCTATCTTATTAAAATGTATATATATCGTAGATAATTATCATTTTCATTTTGTTTTTATTCTATATTGCTATGAAATTCTCACCACTGCATGGGTTGACTGGTAAAGAATGCAGCAATGCATTGAGTCCGCCCTTTGTATTCTTTTATTTTAGGAAATGCAATAAAGAATGAAACAAGTAAAATAAATATATTAAACTCTATTCATACTTCATTAAAACTTGTCCGCTCTTTTCTTGTGATATAGCCACAGTATTCACTCGTGTATAATTTAAATAACTTAACATAGTTTATAGACGTTGAATAATAATTATGTGTCAGTGATTATAATAATCGGTAGGTGAGAAAACAGATGATGGTAAACGATGTAATCGCTCGATAGTTTTGCATAATTGGTATAAAATTAGACCATTATCGATCTGAACCGCCATTTAATGTAATCCTAACAATCATCTTGGAATAAAGATAAACATATAATTTTTACGAGTAACATGGAGGGAGAAGCTAATGAAATACATGATAATCGTGAGGATAAGGAAGTAGATGGATGCAGGTGGCTCAGGACCGTGCTTTGTGGTAATATGATAATATAATGGTGATGATTATGATGAAGGAATTGGTGGTAGTAGCTCAGTGTTCATTTTAATTCATTCCTTCATCAACATCATCATTAATCATTATCATTAAATAAATAAATAATGGATGACGATGATAAAGGAATTAGTGGTGTTCGATAAGACATGTGTCAATCGATAATGATTCGTTCATTTGACCCGGGTCGTATTAAAGTGTTAATGATTGCAATTAAAATTTATACGTGGTAGAGCCATGCTGCAGCTATATTAGTAGTATTGTTGTAGCACGAATGGGTCGGCTCGACCGGGGAAGGACCACGCTCTCACAGAATACCAACGTAAAATAACAGCTTAACGCTGCCGTGTTTCGTATAGTGAGTGTAGAGAACCGCAAACTGTAGATGTCTATGGCCCATAGCAACCACTTACCATCAGGTGGACTGTGTGCTCGTTTGTCACCCTATCCTATAAAAAAAATGTGATCGTTTCATTAAAAAGTATCATTACATTGCCAGTAACGTATACTTATAAATAGTTTTATCCAAAGATAATAGAAATCACTAACAAACACAGTAGATTTAGTTTTATCATTAAAAATGAGTATAAGGTGTGAATAGTTTAAAGAAATTTTTTTTAGATTGAAGACAGGGTGGCATTGAAAACCGGTAAAAAATTTCATTTCGGTCATTTAAGTTCAAATATATAGGTCCCATCTTTCGGTGCGGTTCCGATCCTAGTATCGGTTTTAAGATACCGGTTCAAAAACTCTAAATATACGAATTATTATTCAAGTTTTTATAAGGAATCCCTTATAGACGCTATGGATTATTGTAGATACACAGGTGAAGAATATCAAGTTGATGTATGAAATATATTGACATTCGGGTCTCGCAACGTATTATGTATCAATTTGAATTCCTCCATAAATTTCTTAGGCGCTGACACTTGGACGTGACTATGTTCTGAACGATTGATATTTACTGGCAATATTGACATTTGTATTAATAAATGTAGAATTAGACACGACGGTAATTTCTAATTAGCGCCATAAAAGTCTTGATATGCTGCTATGTTTCGTATGGTGAGTGTAGACGGCTCCGTGGCGCAATGGCTTAGCAATCAGTTGTTGCGCTGGGGGCCGCGGGTTCGAATCCCGCACGGAACAAGTATTTGTATGGCCTACAAATAATTGTTCCGGGTCTGGATGTTTGTCCTTGTGCAATTTATGTTTGTAAACTGCCTCCACGACACAAGAGAAAATCCTAGTGTGGGGGTAACGTTTTTTAATAAAAAAAAAAACAAAGAGAACCGGAGACCCTTTTTACTGGCAAAGAGGCGTTCCATCTTAGTCCTCACGGGTAACAACGCATCTGCATCTTGAGTCTTTATTGAGAATAGATGTAGATGTCTATGAGTCACAGTAACCACTTAGCATCAGGTGGACTGTGTGCTCGTTTGACACCCTATCCTATAAAAAAAAATTATATGCCTTGAACATTCCTAATCAAACGATTAACAGAATCTACGACCAATGATATGTAATAATGTCCAACGATCGACATTATCGAGTGGGTCCCACAGATCACAGAGTACTGAAACTCAAAATATTCCATTTGAAGATTCGACTCGAATGATCCGGTTCGTAAGACGAATCAATATTTGAATGATCCGGTCACTAGAAATGAATGAATGACACATGTCTAGTTCCGATAACTCAGTATTCATTTTTTATGTTTACCTACAACATGACATTAATGGTAGTTCAATAGTTTTATATCTACTAAACTGTACGCGATGTTTTTCTAAATTATGTAATTTTTGGTTTCTTTCGATTATTTGATAGAGTAATGAGTATAAGTAAATTCATTCTAATTGATTTAAGAATAAAGCGTTTAAGACCGGAGGGCATTCTCCAATCGCTGATCTATTCTATGCTTGATAAACTATGACAAATTCTGTCGTTTTACGGGACCAATTGTGTCCAGAAACGAACTGGCTAGTGATAAAAAAACTTGTATTCATTATCTTTTATTTAAAATTCGCGCCATAGAAATTTTGTTATGCAAACAAGGTGTGTCCGCATATGCAAAATTGAAAGCTTTGTATCTGCTATATCGTGGGAAAGCAACTAGGAGCAACCTTGAGTGGTCCATTCAATTCAATCGGTCGCTAGCGTCTCGCGGCCTCGTTTATTTAGACCCTCGCCTTGTGACCCTTTATATGGAGCTATCGATACCCTGGATCGAAACGACCAATCTAATTTGATCTATTGATACAATTCGTAAGCTTATTACAAGCAATCATTGTAAGTTGGTTGAAAACAAATCAATACAAGTGTAAAATGACCTGTCTTTTACAACAAAAGCTTTGATTATAAAGGTCGTTGGGAAGTGGTAGTGATAAAGGTCGAACTCCTAACGTTTTCTTCACAATATCGAGCGGCTTTTGATTTGACCAAACACGGAATCGTATGTAGAGGCATGAATCATCGATCCGCGAGACTTTAATGGAAACAAGTTTGTGACGTTATTAATAAATCGGTATTCGCAGACTGAAATAGACATGGTTAGGTACGTCACATTTGTTGATCTGTGGATGCATCAGGGTCACTTACGGATGTGCTCCTAATATGGCGATGTTACAGATTGCAATCTTCCTCGTTTGTGTTGTAGTTTTATTTTTTATAGAAACATTTAAACTGACTTTACGTGGTAGAGCCATGTTGCAACTAAATTATAGATGTAGCGTGAATGGATCGGCTCGAGGTGGGCTCTGCGTCGGGGCCAGGACCACGCTCTCACAGAATACCAGCGTAAAATTGCAGCTTAGTGCTGCTGTGTTTCGTTTGGTCAGTGTAGAGAACCAAAGACTTTTCACTAGATACACATTGCATATGTGCATTTTGATTATTAATCGAAAATAAATGTAGATGCCTATGGGTCATAAAATATT